GTGTTCCTTGACTTTCTAATCCAAGATTTATCCATAGAAAAGTATTAACTTTCTGAATAAAATAGGAATGATAAAAAGAAAATGAAAAAGAATAGGGAAGAATTAACCCAAATAGCCGTCCATCTAATTTCTTAAATTAAAAAGACCCGGCGGATGTATAATATGTGTATAATCAATGTAATAATATATCTATCTATACCACCTAAAAAAAGTAAATAGTAAATTTGACCGGCTATTTGCGTAACAATCCCTTTTAGATATTCGTGCAATATATAACGTACTAGCTAGCCGCCGAGTATACCAGTGATTATTATTATTATAGTATTGAGGTGGTTGCAGGAATCCAAAATTTTCATATATATATATGAATATGCCTATGATGGCTAGTGTCACGGGGGAGTTTTTGGTCAGTCCAAAATCACACGCACGCGGCAGTCAAGTTGCACATATGACTCAGCCTTTTCCAACACTTAGCCAAATTTTCAGAAAGTTTGGCCTTAAACTAATTTTGGCATCAAATTGAAAAGAACACAATCAAATACGAGAAAAATCCCAACCTTTGCATTAATTCGAAAGTCTACAAAGGAAATCCTCACTTTGCTATGAACACAAGTCGTTCAAAGCCCACTTCGTCTAGCCAAGATCACAAGTCGATCTTGCACACTAAGACCTGCCCAATGCCCAGCCTTAGCCCCTTTTTGAAACACTTTGAAATACTCACGTTTCTCTCTTGTTTCCCTTACTAAATTTCACACGAAATTCCCACACTAAATCTGACTAAGTCCAAAGGCACCTATTTATAGCATATAGGAAGCCTTTAGGACTTGACACTTGACAGCACATGGACACTTGTTGTCTACAGCTTTTGCCACTTGTCGGGCTAAGACTAAGTCTGTTCTTATCTTGTAGTTGACATCTCCAACTACATAGGCCATGTTCTACACGAAATGATAGTGGATACAAGCATAAATTAGACATGGGTACAAGTGGTTATAAAAAGGTAATCGCCAACTGCTTTGTCATGTGCACTGCATGTGCCCTTTGACTTGATTAGCTGCTGCACGCCCAAGGCTAGCATTGCGCCCAGCCTTGGCTCATTTTGACATTTCTCCGCACCAATGCCTTTCCCGCAACCTGCTGCCCATGATTTTATCGCACACGCGCGACGCCGCTGCTGCCCGCACATGCCTTGGCCGAGTTTCTGCCTTGCCCATGTCAACCCTTGTTTCACCTGTGTCATTGCTTGTATTTTCCTATACATAGCCTTGCCTTAGCTATGGAAGCCTTTGCCATCATCCCGGACTACCGTGCTTTAGCTTAACCCGCACTTGTCGCTGCCACGACCCGAAGTGCTCGTGCCACTAACTTTGGCGCGCATGCCGTGCCATGCCGCCCCAACTTTGCCCACACTGCCTTGTCAAGCCTTTTCCAAGCATGTCTTGCCTTCCCCAAGACGTTGGCTAATACTTGCCCGCAACAGCCCACATAGCATCGTCTTGTCCATTGCCTGCATGATCGTTTTGCCCGCATATAGGCCAATAGCAAGGCCATCATGCCCAATCCTTGCCACAACCGCGTCATGCCCGATGTCAAAGATTCAGGACCCTAACAAACCACCCGCACCCTTTGAAATCGACGTCCTCGTCGAGCCAACTCAATTAATCAACCCTAAGGGGTTGTTGACATACAACGCCCTTGTTGCTCCATTCACATCTGCCACAATAGCATTTGCCTCTGCCACTTGTTTCTGTTTTTCCGTAGCCAGCATAGCATTCACCTAGCCTGCACCGGACAATCCTTCTTCAAGTGCGGTACACCACAAGTAAAGCAGCCTTAGAACTTGCCGCTTCTTTCTTTGCCATTGGAAGTCTCCGCCTGCCTCCCATTTTTGGCAAATCCTTCATCTTTGGCAGCTTGGCCTTTCCCACTTTTCTTCCATTCCTTAGCCTTGTCTTTTCTTTCGTCGGAATTCGAATGCGAAGATTCAGCAGGGTCATCACCTATGTTGAAGTCAGCCAATGCATCTGCCGCAAATAGCAATAGAGAGGCTTTGAATATTCTACCTTCTCAACTCCAATTGCGCCCAGCCCTTCAATCCGCTCACGAAGTAATGCAGCTTGTCTTCCTCTGCCATATTACTTACATTCAATATAAAGGACGAGAATTCTTTGACATACTCCCTCACCGTGCCACTTTGCTTCAAGCGACGCAATTCATCTCTTGCAACCCATGACGAGTTGGTTGGAAGGAATTGAGATTTTAATTCCTTCTTCAGCATCTCCCAAGTTTTAATCCTGGGCAGTCCAGCACTTTCCACTTTCGCAACTCGTGTACGCCACCAAACTTTCACATCATCAGTCAAATACATAGGTGTGATGATCACCTTTTCATCATCCGGCACACCAGCAGCCTGGAAATACTGCTCCATATCTCACAAGAAATTTTCCAGTTCTTTGGCACTTCTTGCACCATCATAAGCCTTTGGCTCCGAAATTTTCACTTTGGTGCGATCATTACTTTTAGGGGTAGTATTTTGTAATGCCCTTCGAAGTTGAACCACCTCCTTGCACAGTTCTTCCTTTTCCTTGCGTACCAAGGCCATTTCTACCAACGTAGTTTCATGCCTCATCGCATAATCTGCCTCCAAACGTGCCATTCTCGCAAGAATAGAAGAATCAGCACGTACTTCAAGAGCCTGCCCAACGAGTGCTTCCAACTGTTCCACCCTTTGGCGCAATTCAGCATTTGTGCCACTAGCCATGTTCTCACATAACAACACGAAATCTATAACTGGTCGTCTTGCCACCGCCACGAACCTTGCTCCGCTATGATACCAGTTGTCACAGGGGCATTTTTGGTCAGTCCAAAATCACTCCCGCGCGGCAGTCAAGTTGTGCATTTGACTCATCCTTTCCCAACACTTAGCCAAATTTTCAGCAAGCTTGGCCTTAAATGAATTTTGGCATCAAATTGAAAAGAACACAATCAAATACGGGAAAATACCAACCTTTGCGTTAATTCGAGAATCTACTAAGGAAACCCTCACTTTGCTATGAACACAAGTCGTTCACAACCCACTTCGTCTAGCCAAGATCACAAGTCGATCTTGCACACTAAGACCTGCCCAATATCCAGCCTTAGCCCCTTTTTGTAACACTTAGAAAGACTCACGTTTCTCTCTTGTTTTCCTTACTGAATTTCACACGAAATTCCCACACTAAATCTGACTAAGTCCAAAGGCACCTATTTATAGCACATAGGCAGCCTTTAGGACTTGACAACACATGGACACTTGTTATCTACAACTTTTGCCGCTTGTCGGGTTTAGAATAAGTCTGTTCCTATCTTGTAGTTGACATTCCCAACTGCATAGGCCATGTTCTACACGAAATGTAGTGGATACAAGCATAAATCAGACATGTGTACAAGTGGTTATAAAAAGGTAACCGCCAACAGCTTTGGCATATGCACTACATATGCCCTTTGACTTGATCAGCTGCTGCACGCCCAAGGCTGGCATTGCACCCAGACTTGGCTCATTTTGACATTGCTCCGCACCAATGCCTTACCCGCAACCTGCCGCCCATGATTTTGCCGCACACGCCCGACGCCACTGCCTCCCCCACATGCCTTGGCCGAGTTTCTGCCTTGCCCATGTCAACCCTTGTTTCACTCGTGCCATTGCTTGTATTTTCCTTCACATAGCCTTGCCTTAGCTATTTAAAGTCTTTGCCATCATCCCGGATTGATGTGCTTTAGCTTAACCTGCATTTGTCGCTGCCACAACCCGAAGTGCCTGTGTCACTAACTTTGGCGCGCATGTCGTGCCATGCCGCCCCAACTTTGCCCGCACTGCCTTGTTAAGCCTTTGCCAAGCATGTCTTGCCTGCCCCAAGACCTTGGCGAATACTTGTCCGCAACAGCACACATAGCATTGTCTTGTCCATTACCTGCATAATCGTTTTGCCCGCACATAGGCCAATGGCAAGGCCATCACGCCAAATTCTTGCCACAGGCGCGCCACGTCCGATGTCAAAGAGTCAGGACCCTAACAGCTAGCTACTTTCTTTACAAGAAAACTATCAATGTTCAAATCCCTAACGTTCCGTACTCCAAAAGGTATTTTAAAAAACATTAAATTGAGGAAGAGAACAAGAATTTGGACAAGACTTACTATATTTAAAAGCCTCATGTGGCATGTGACACGCGCGCATATATATATATATATATATATATATATATATATATATATATATATATATATATATATATATAACTTTAGACATACGCGTCTGCCCATCTCTCACCCCAACCCCGCAAAAGAAAAGTGAAACCCTATTTCTACTTTTAAGAGCTTCTGTGGAAATCCACAAGCAAACTTTAATTTACCTTGCTCACACGATTATCATAGTTCTCCCATTCCTTGATTATTATTATTACAAGTTAAGTACGTAAGACAATAACAAGTTTTCCAAATCAAGTGTGATACGTACAAATGGGAAATAATTTAATTTATATACATAGTACTGTAAAGAATTTTTATTGTATCAGTATGCTCAGAATTATTGTAAATATAATTATTTTTCTAGGTTACCAATCTCATTTATAATTATTATAGTTATCTCTTAGTTACCTAATGGTGTGATATAATTTTCACAATGTCAATATATATTTAGATTAAAATCAACCTAGAAAATAAATAATAGGAGTAACTTATTCTACCCATTAAATTTCACTAAATTGTTTATATTATATGATATGATTATCATTAGATATCTTCACCCACGCTTGGCGTTTACTTTTGACTTTTAAGAAGCCGAAAAAAGAAAAGGCAACAAAATTGACACATATTCATTACTGAAACCCAGCACGAAGCTTCCGTACGCGCAAATCCCACGGAAAGCCGACTTCAACCGCCATTAACTAACCTCTTCCCCATTACTACTTCTTTATTTTTTCCTTCCCATCGCTTTCTCAGCCCTTAAACTATTTATACTTGCTATATATAACCCAATTCTTCCTCTTCCTTCATCCAATACCAATTGTTATTCTCATGCAACAACCATCTTTCTTACAAAACATTTCCTAGTTTTCTTGGTTATACACTTAAGTTAATTATCATATTCTGCTTCTCATATTACAAATTAGCTTACGATACTAATTAGCTATAGCATGTGCATGGAAACTATTTCTAGCTCTACCGAAAACAAGTCCGTTTTTTCAAGATTAAGGAATATATTTTCGCCCAAAAAGCCGATCATAATCAAGGACGATGAGGTTATTGATCAGACGGCCAGTACTAGTACTCTTTCTGTGAGTATAATCAATACTAGCAATGAAAATAGTGATCGTTTAGAGAGGGTATTTACGTACTTTGACGAGGACGGAGATGGGAAAGTGTCGCCAGCGGAGCTACAGCGGTGCGTGAGGGCGGTAGGAGGGGAGCTGACGGAGGAGGAGGCGGAGATGGCGGTGAGGCTATCGGATTCAGACGGAGATGGGATGTTAGGGTTAGAGGATTTTAGTAAATTAATGGAAGGAGGTGACGTGGAGGAAAAGAATAAGGAGAGTGAGTTAAGAGGAGCTTTTGAGATGTATGAAATGGAAGGAACAGGTCAAATTACTCCAAAGAGTTTGAAGAGGATGTTGAGTAGACTTGGTGAGTCTACCTCTGTTGATAATTGCAAATCCATGATTCAAAGATTTGATCTTGATGGTGATGGAGTTCTTAACTTTGATGAGTTCAAAATTATGATGAACATGGAGTTTAAAAAGATCTAGTTTAAAGTACAAATATTCTCATGCCTTATGTATATACATAATTCTTTGCCGTTTGAGCTCAAAATAATTCTGGTTGATGGATTCTATTGTTATCAAGATTGTTATTCATTACTTGATTGTTATTGCAAATTGATTGTTTATATGTATTTGACACCATTCTATATATATATATATATATATATATATGGAAGTAAAGCAATATAATTTGCAGTTGAGTATGAAAAAAGTGAGTCAGTCTCTTTATAAGTACTTTTCCAGCTCCAAAATACTAGTGTGGAATAGGCCAGAGAGGTTTGCTTGAGATTTGAGGGATGATGTCATATCAGAAGGATTTGGTTTCCCACCTTATATCATCATGTTATGAACTAATAATTTTAAGAGTAGATGATCAATAAGACTAGTGCTAAAATTTTTTAGGTCGAATCCATCATATTCAAATCTTGGATTCCCATATATATGTACATCCTTGGCAGCGGCCAAGTGAGAAATTTTCCCAAGGTATTCAGATTCGAAAGAAGTAAAAAAGTTTCCCGACAGAAGGTGTTCAATATATGTTATATACATCTAAAGTTAATGTTTTACTTATATAGACAATGTAATTTTTCGTAATATTTCGAGGAATGACGGTCAACTAACACCCTTCGCAAAAGGGGGCTTTGTCCCTGGTCACTGGATCGAACAGTTATTTAGGGACAATTTTTTCATTAGATACTTTCTTTCTTTTTTTGCTAAATAATTGAAGTATTTTTATCTATAAAAGATTTCTTTACATAGTAATCTGGTATGTAATTTCTCAATTTCCAAAAAAGTAACAAATTAATATTGAATATCAAACTGAAAATTAGATAAATTGATTGGTAGTATTTACTTCTTTTGGAATGAAGTGATTTCTTTAGTTTCACGCTACTGAAATATGACCATGGTTATTGGTTAGCGCAAAACTTGTGAGGATATAATAAGGAGAACTGAGCCACTTTTGATATTAAGAAAAGTCCACTTTCATATATTTGGCATTTTTCAGAATCATTGACTTTGAAATTCCCCTCAGGCATTCTGACTTTTGCTAGATACTATTGAGGGTTCAAGTTCACTGCACAATGAATGCACCCGCGAATAAGAAAGTCCATGGAAATGGACGGTAACGCGCTGAAATTCGGTTCTGCTATTGCCACAGTAGGCCGGCGTTCTGCTGGTCAAGCTGCAATATTAATAAAGTGAATATAGCACGAGCTAGCTAGTTTTCGGACTGGTAACTAAAAAATAACCAGCGTTTGTAAAGTTATTGAAAAATAACTATTATTTTGCTGTAACACGGAAAACTCCAGCATAATATACCGGAGATTGATGCACTTGTGTATTAACTTCCAGCATATTATGCTGAAACTCCAGCACACGGAAAGTTCCAGCATAATATACTGGAGAGTGGATCACCTGTGTATAAACTTCCAGCATTTTATGCTGGACCAGTATATTATGCTGGAACTCCAGTATATTATGTTGGAAGTTCACAAGTAAAAAATTCGAACTCCAGTATATTATGCTGAAATATTTTCCGAATTTAGAATAATGTTTTCGTTCAAATTTACCTTTACATGAAATGTGACTAAATTTCAATTACTTTTGACACTCCGGTTATTTTTCAATTATCACTTGATATTCACACTATTAATCAAAGGTGTTAATGAATACAGGCCCGATCAACCAGACCAACTGTATAAACTTTGATTTTCTTAAAATGTTACTAACAACTTTGTGAATAAAAACAACCTGTAACACCACGTCCGTTTTTAACGTTGCACGTGTGTTTATATCAGTATAGATCTTTTAAGATAGTATAGATAATATTAAAATGAGAATTTGGAAAGGAAATGACAAGCTAAAATTAATGAATAGCCAGCCTATTCGAATGACTTGATTGTCAATCACTATTGTAGCTTTAGCTGTCATTAAATTGGTACATCAAGAAGATATTGTCCACAGGGGCGGATTTAGGGGCGGAAGGGGTTGACTCGAACCCCCTTTATCGAAAAATTACACTGTACATATAAGGCATTATTCGGCTTGTACTTCTATATATTATATTTTGAATCCTCTTTGTGAAAAAAATAAAGTTGATTTTTTGGAAAAATATAGAATCCTCTAGAATGTCCTAGTATAGTATCCTTGATATTTATCTGGTAGACATATCTAGATGTTCTAGAATGTTGTGGAAAGATAAGACATGTCTAGATATTCTAGAGTGTTGTTAGAAGATAAGGTTGCTAGAATCTTCTTTGTACATTATCTAGAATCATATCTAGAATCATCCATAGGCTAGTATAAATAGAGGGTATCTTGTTCATTTGTAACCAAGCCAAATTCATGAAAGTCTTCTTCAATAACAAAGTTCTCCTTTCAAAAATCTCTCTTCTCTTTTCAAGCTTCCTCTTCTTTAGTTGAATCTTCCAATCTTATTTAACGATCTTGGGCTAGCAGAAGGTTTCCAAATAATACTCTTCTTCTGCTATTCTTTATATGGTATCAGAGCCATAAGACGGCTTCTGGATTTCAAGGTCGGGTTAGTGGTTGATTCAACTGGTTTCTCTAAATGGTTTTGGGTGGTCGTGCTAATGGATTGGGGATTGAGTTATTGAACCAGTCCAACTACAAGGTATGAAAAACTTGTATGGAGTCATACCTTGTTGGTGAGGATTTGTGGGAAGTTGTCAATGGGAGTAACACAAGTCCTCTTGCTGACACACCGAAAAATAGCAATGCGCGTAATAAGTGGAAGCAGATTAATGCTAAGGCGGAGTTTATCTTAAAGAGGTCTATCTCTCCTAATTTATTTGATCATATTATAAGGTATAAATCAGCTCATGAAATATGGAGGACCTTCGATTGACTGTTCAACAAGAAGGATGAAGCTCAGCTACAGATTTTGGAGAATGAGTTAGCTAACACCACTCAAGGTAATCTCTCTATCACCGAGTATTTCTTGAAGGTTAAAAATCCGTGTTCCGAAATTTCTCTATTGAATCCGGATGTGGCTATCTCTGAAGCACGAATAAGAAGAATCATTATTCGTGGTTTAAAGCCAGAATATATTCCATTTGTTACATCGATTCAAGGATGGGTTCAACAACCATCTTTGGAATAATTTGAGAATTTGTTGTCGTCACAAGAGATACTAGCCAAACAGATGGCTTATGTATCTATCAAATAAGGGGAAGGAAATGCTCTTGTCGCCGATAAGAGAAACTATAAAGGGAAATCAAGAGAGAGCATGTACTTTCAATCCTCAAGTGGTTCAAGCTCGCCAGGAAAGAAGGGTGAGTCTTCCAGTAACGGTAAAAAACTTTTAAAATGTTGTCGTTCTGGCAAAGTCGGGCATATAAAAAGATATTGTCGAGCCAAAGAGAGCAATATGGCTCAAACTAAGAAAGTTGCTGAAGAAGAAGAAAAAGAAGAAGACTGGGAAAAGTGCTTCGCAGCGGAGACTCGAGCAATAAATGCCATGGCTTCCATAAACTTTGAAAGAGACTGGATTGTGGATTCAGGATGTGGGCACCATCTCACTGAAGATCAATCCAAATTCTCCACCTTTCGTAAATACAACGGACATGATGTCATTGTTACAGCAGATAATACATTCCATAATGTTGAGAAGGAAGGCACTATTGTGATCAACGAGAAGCAAAAAGACACTATCACCCTCAATAGTGTCTTTTATGTTCCAGGAATGAAGAAAAATCTATTTTCAGTTGCAAATGCTATAGATGCTGGAAACTATTTGCTATTTGGCTCACATGATGTGAAGTTCCTTCAAAATATCAAGGTGCTCAAGACAGATATCGTTCACTCAGGTAAGAGAGTTAACGATTTATATGTCTTATCTTCCTCTAATTCATATATTGAGAAGATGAGTAGCAATGATAATACACATCTTTGGCATGCTAGACTTGGACATCTAAGCATGGACAAATTAAAAGCATAGTAAAGTTAAGTCTAGTAAAAGGTTTGCCTAACTTAAGAAATTTTGGTGAAGGAGAGGTTTGTGAAGGATGTCAATATGGAAAGGCACATCGTCTTCCATTTGACGGATCCTTGTCAAGGTGCAATGCCCCACTAGAACTTATTCACAGTGACTTGATGGGGCCAACGAGAACTCCTTCATTTTCAGGCTATTCTTATATGCTAATTTTCATTGATGATTTTACTAGATTCACTTGGGTTTATTTTGTGAAGCACAAGTCAGAAGTTTTCAGTAAGTTTATGGAGTTCAAAGAAACAGTTGAAGGTGAACTCGATTCCAGAATAAGGCGGTTGCGAACTGATAATGGCGGTGAGTTCACATCAGATGTGTTTCTTTCCTTTTATCGTCAGCATGGCATTAAAAGAGAGCTAACATGCGCGGATACACCACAACAAAATAGAGTGGCTGAAAGGAAGATCCGACACTTACCTGAGACATGTAAGAGTTGGCTTCATGCCAAGAATTTACCTAGAGCCTTGTGGGCTGAAGGTATGAAATGTGCAGCATACGTGATTAATAGGATGCCGCTTTCTCCAAACTATATGAAGTCTCCCTATGAATTAATGTTTGGAGAAAAGCCTAGCGTGAAATACCTCAGGGTTTTTGGCTTTGTTTGTTATGTTCACATTCCGGATTCTCAACGGAGCAAGTTAGATACCAAGGCAAGGAAATGCATCTTTGTCGGATATGATGAAAGGAAAAAGGGATGGAAGTGCATGGATCCTAAAACTCATCTCTTTGTTGTCTCAAGGGATGTCATATTCGACGAAGTGTCTTTGTATTATGGAGCAGCATTGGATGGAGCGAGTTTAAAAACCTTAAATAATGGAGATTCAAGCTTGCCCATTGCAAGTGCTTCTCTAGATAATACAGCTGCCGAGGAGTTAAGAGAAAGGGGAAGTCCTGGACCTCAACAACATGAAACTCAACAAGAAGATAGTTCAAGTGGTTCGGGAAGGCCAAAAAGAACTATTATCAAGCCAGCTCGCTTCAGAGATGAAAATTTTGTCAGTATGTATTCCTATTTCTTTACAGGACCAATTGATGATGAAGAACCTTCCTCATTCGAAGAAGCTAAAGGAGTCAAAGAATGGGAGCTTGCTATGGATGATGAAATGGAGGCTC